GAGCTGCCCAGGTTCTTCTCTGCACAGCCATTCACAGAGCCTGCAGTGTGGATGAGCTGCAGGTGTACAACATGGCGTCCCGGATGAAAAGTGTGACTTCATTTTCCCTGCTACTAAGACCAAAAGCCGTGGTGCCATTGTTGACTTTCTTCCTTCTCTCACTCTCCTTATTAAATTCGTGGCATGACTTGATAGCAGTCCCTTCACAATTCATCTGGCATTCATCCTCCTGGTCCGTGTCCACCTCTGACACTTACCAGTCTTGTGTCCAAACCACCCATCCCTTACCTGGACAACTGAGATAGCTTCCTAACTAGTGCTTCTGTCTCTCCTTGCTCCCACAGTCTTGATCACACAGAAACCAGTGTGATCTTTTTCAGATGTAAGGGAACACCCTTCCTCTGTTCAAAACCCTCTAACCCTTTCCCATGTGACTTGGATTCAAATCCAAAGTCACTGCCATGGTTTGCAGGGAATACGTGCTCCCTATGGTTTGTCCCACCACCACCCACCTCCTTTGACACCTTTACTCCTTCTGCTCCAACGATAACCTTTGAATTCCGAAAAGGTACCAAAAGCAATTCAGTCAAGACCTTTGTATATACTCAGAGCTGTACCCCCAACATTGATATGGCAGGCCCTCTTAATACAGAAAAGTCACCTTCTCACAGAAACTTTCTATGACTCCTCTTAAAGAGGCTCCCCTCCCTTTCTAGCTCTTTACCATGTTTTCCTTTTCTTCTTAGCACTTGCCACCTACTAGCATACTATATGTTTTATGTTCACTTCTTTTGATGTCAGTCTCCACCCCCTAAAATGTAAGCTCTGTGAGAGCAGGGTCTTTGTTATCTTCTGTAATTCCAGTGCCTACAGTAATACAGAGAAAATATTCCATTAATATCTGATAGATGAGTGAGTGAATTCTTTCTGTTGTATCGACATGGAGAGCATATATGCCTTTTGAGGAAAATAGTTTATATGTAGTAGACATTCTCAGAAATTTATTTTCCACTGTACATTCTCACATTATATTATGACTCATAATAGAGATATTTATGGGAGTAGTGATTTGTAGACAAAGTCCTCAGAAGTCACTATCCATGAATTAAAAACTGGCAGCAAGCCAAAATGTAACTCTTAGATGCAGATAATTGTTTATACCTACCTCTGCTCTTTCTACATATAGGTAGAATATCACCCCCTGCATTTTTGTCTATATCATTATTAACAATTGACTTTGGACAAGTCAAGATCATTCAATAGAATGAAATAATTGAACCTGAGGCCTGAAAGGTCATTAAAAGTCATCTACAACTATCTTCCTAGAGGGTTGGCCAATATATGATGGGATTATTTTCAGTGACAGAAAACTCTCTACCCATTTTGGTTTGGGATGGGCTTTCTGTGGGTTAAACGAATCTGGATCTAGGTAACATACAAGTTGGTCTTAGTTTCTGGAATCCAGAGGAGAAGGAATAAACTAGACAATAAAGAGAAGAGTGAAAAATGATACAGAAAATGAAATTTTTGTACTGGAACATTCCAGTCTTTCAAGTTGAGTCATACCTAGAAGTGAAGAGGTATTTATCTGATTTCCATAACCCTAAGAGGCAGACTTCTACTTCATTTTATGTAGAAGTATCCAGAGAAGTATGTATTGGCTATTAGATCTTTAATAGAGAACATATTGGTTAGTGTTGCTGGATAACAAATGACCACAAAAAGCAGTGGTTTAAAACAACTACATTTCTTATTTCTCACAAGATATCTATAGATCAGCTTGGAGGGTCCAGGAATCTGGGTTGTTGGGCTCTACTGGTCTCAACTGAGCTTACTACGTGTCAGCTGGTGCACTGGTCAGGGGCTAGCTGGTCAAGAATGATCTCTGTTGGAAGGACAATATTCTTCTCATCCATCTTCAGCAGACCAGCAAGTTTCATTCTCACGGCAGTGGCAGGAGACCAAGAATGGAGGTGGAAATGTGCAAGCACTTTTCAAGCCTCCTTCTTGCTTTGTGTTTGCTGTTTTCTTCTTTTGCCATGTTGCTGAACCCAGAGTCAGAGTGTGAGAGGACCACCAAGTAAAAAGCAGAGGGTGTGGATACAAGGAGGCCATGCGTTGAGCCATTAATGCAATCAGTCCACCACAGATAAAAAGCACCAGAGGAGAGGGTTTGACTTAGACACAAAATACAAAGGAAGGGAGTGAAAGGAAAGAAAGCGATGCAGAAAGCAAAATCAAATGAAAGATGGCCAGGTAAGAAAAGAGATAAAGAAGAGAGACAGAAAAAGTAGAGTAGATAATCTGAAGAGAAGGAAACCTACTATACTAGCAGGTCTGCAGGAACCAAGACATGTGACCTGGAAGACAAACACTGGTAGGAAAATATAATATTCATAACAACATAATACAATTTTCCGATTGATAGCAATAAAAACTCAAGTTCTGATTTGAGTTTGGGAAAACAAGAAATATAATCAATTACCACACAATTATGTGGTAAAATACTTCACATCTGGCAGAGGAAACCTGCAATCATAAACATTGGAGCATGAAAGCAAGTGACAAAGGCCATAGCAAAGCTTTTATACTTACTCCTAGGCAGGCATCTATTAATGATACTGTTTAAAAATATTATGACTTTGTCTTGTTAGGATATACAAAGTATAACCTGATTGGGAATTTCTTCCATCCTTTTGTCTTTTCATCTTTAACTGTAAGTCTGTCTTAAATGTAAGTTATATTTATGTTAGTACTCTTCCACATGGAGTACAAAACTGGGTAATAGTATAATGCCCATTAAGAAAAGGGGTTTATGTGTTGCTATTGAATATGGCTTAGAAATTACTAAGTAAAGTATGTCAGAGTTTCATATAGTAAATGAATTTTTAGGAACTGAAATTATAGGTTTTTTTTATTTATTTTGATCTACAACTGGCAATACCTTAACCTTGTTTAAGACAGGACTGCTTTGGTGCATAAAGGAAAATATCATCTTCCATTTACATGTCTCAAGATAATTTCAGACATTTCAGAAACATTAAAATTTCCTTTTAATTGGTCAATTCCAACAGAAGAGCCCTTTTACAATTTCATAATGTCATGGGCAAAAATAAGCATTACGTCTTCTCTCCAACTTATTTGCTATGCTGTTTGTTATGGTTTACGTAACAGTGTGTGATCTAATATGTTCCTTAATGAATTACTCACAGATGGCCCACAGTCTGTTTATTCTACCTAAAGATTTGTTGGTACATTTATCCTTCCCTTTCATTTCTTCTTTCTTTCTTTATTGAAGAAGATTTTATTCCCATTTTTATCTTTATAAAAATGGTAATAAAAAATGTAGTAATTATATTTCCAATGACTCTTCTAAGTCTAGAAAAAATGGACTCCAAGAGTTGGTCTCATTTATAATTATTGCATCATGTTTAATATGTTGTCAATGTATCCTAATTTTTAAACTATAAATATTAGAAATGTCTGTCATCTTCATCTTTTGGTTCCATTGAGGTTCAAATTTAGGAAGTGTGAACTTGAGATGACCCATAATAATTCACAAGTTTTCCATGAGTTTCAGCCAGAATGGTGATGTTTGACATCCGTTAACAATTGCCAAATATCACTACGTAGTAATCAACAATGATATTTTTAAAATATATATTTAGCAGTGGAGTTATCTGTCTTTCTCTAGGGTTTATATGTATAAGGCCACATATAAACAAGGATTTTTTTAGACCACGAAAATAAATATGTAATTGTCTTTTAGGAAAACAAATAGTGCAAGAAGAATTTTTATTCCTGAAATGATAGTAGTAAATGCACTCATGGTGTAGCAGTATTTCTGACAAGTTTTCAGCATCCAACATCAGTTAGATTCTCTGGAAATCTCTTGGTTTCATCATCAAGTTGCCATCTATAGGACCAGGAGCTATCTTGTTACTTTGACCCATCAAATAGCACTAAATGGATGTTATTTTAGGTAGTGTATGTCTTTCTTCTCAAATATTCACTGCTCTGTCTCTCTAGTTCTGCATTCCCATCACCTGAATTTATCCATTAAACAAGATGATCACACTGCCCACCCCCACCACTGAGTGAAAATAAAATCCAACATATAACCATCTGCTTTTTTCTTTTTCAGATTCCTGTCTTGGTCACACAGATAAGTTCGACCAATCACCCAGTGAAAGTGGGGCTGTCTGATGCATTTGTCGTTGTCCACAGGATCCAACAAATTCCCAGTATGTAGAAGAAGGGTAATCGCAAAGTCTGAGCCTGCCATGGGGGTAAATTTAAAGGAGATTGATCTGGGTGGATGCTAACTCTTTGCTCCATAGAGTCACTTAGATAATTGCTGCTTGTTAATTACATGGTTTGGTTTAACTTTTACTGAGGTTTGCTCTCTCTCTCTCTGTTCCTCTTGAACTAATAATTTAGGTAAAGTTAAATAGCCAAAGCAAGACTGTGTGTTTTGGATTATTTGGGATAGTTAGTTGTGCAGATGTATTTCTTTTTTAATAATAAGAACATAAAAGAGAGATTATTTGACTGAGAGGTGTATGATTTTTTTGTTTGTTTATTTAGTTGAAATACAATTATCAGCAAAAGAGCAGTTTTGTGCCGTTTTATGTTTAACGTGCTCATATGAAACTGCTTGAGACTCTAAAGGAAGATGAAAGAAAAAGTATAAATGAAGGTACATAAAAACTTTGGTGGAATTATACTTACCAGAGAAGATGTGTATTTTCATTGTTTAAATCATTTTTGTCCTCCCTAGTCTAGTTTACCTTTGTAGAATAAAAACACATGTACTACTTTGAACAGCTGTACATCATATTAGAAATTCAAAATGTAATTGCTACTTACAGTAGTCTGATCATGTAAATAGCTTTCAAATCATTTGAAAGCATCTGTTTTTTAAACCTCCTCTTTTTCAAGAACAGTCCTAAGGGATCCTTGGATGTGTTCATACTGAAAGTGTTCGTTTGTTTATGTCCTAAACATGCTTATTTAAAGCAAGAGGTGATAAAAAAAGGACTCATTATGATTAGGTCGTTTTTTTCGCTTTTGTTCAAAGTTCTTTTTCTTCTTAATTTTATGATAGTGATAGACTAATTTGTCACATACATATGTTATTTGGTCTTGACTTGAGCTAATGCTGTTTAATTATGTCATCTCTAAAATATCATAAGTAAGTAGAGCAGAGATTACTTAGACTTCTCAGAGAAGTGGATTGGCTGGACACATAATAGGGGTCTTCTTACAACTACGGTTTAGAATGACAATCATATGTGGCAGTTCCGTGTGGGGAAGAACATGAATCATGGTGGTTTCTCCGTGTTAGCTGAGAACCTGTGGGAGGTAGTGTTCAAGGGAACTGTCAGATCAAGGCAGATTTTCCAGAAACGAAAGTGTACTGTGAACAAAGCAAGGATAGATTAGCACGTGTAGGCAACGTAAAGGCATTCTGACTGAACGCTTAAGTAAAAAGCAGAGTCCTAACCAACATGGACTCCTGTTGGAAGAGAAGTATTCTCACATTCTTCTTTTCAGAGGTGTGAAATCAAACAGGACTGAATCAATTATTGCACAAGTGAAAGGAAACGCTAGTTTTAGTTACTGGTGGGCTCTTTTCATCCCAGAAAGAATTTTATTCACAGTTTCTGCAGAAGGCATCTTGGACTGATGTTCTAATATATTGTTATTTAGAGGAAAAGACCTTCCAAAGTACAAAAGAATATTTTTACAAATGTATTTTAATATTAAAGTAATGTGTCAGAACTTAGACATGATAAAATTGTAGTTAAATAAGTTATTAAACTGTCCCAAAAGGAAACTTTGCCTCCCGTGGTATATTGTAATAAGGTAACCATTATTTGGTTTGGGGGGAAAATATCCTTTCCAAATTTAAATTTTATTGAACAATTTGGCAAAACTCCTATGAATTTTGAGAACAGATTCTGTCTAAAGTCTGGGACTCAGCAGTTATCTAAAAAAATTACTCAAGCTTCCAGTTTTCCAAGGAAAAGCTTCTCTCAGGCAAGCTAATGCTGGAGTGACATTCACATTCCTGTTGACCTTCACTGTTCTATCCTGAGAAAATTAGCCAAGGAGGGATGGGAATTCTGAGTTTCTAATCTACTCATCACTGCTGTTAGATTGGACCTATTTCAGCAAGAACTTTGGAATTGATACGTGCTACTTAAAAATCATTTGGGGAAGGGAAAAATTTAAATCTCCTTAAAATCTGTTCCCACATTTATAAAGCATAACAGTGCCTGTTACGTGAGCTTCTGTATACAAGATATGGTTTGTAGTCTCATTGTAGTCTCAGCTGGAAAAAAAAATAGTGCACTTATTTACTCCAGAGATTAGGCAAACCAAAATTAGCATAATACAAATTATACAAGTATTATTTTCCCTGACAAAATAAGATGACTCCTAGAGGTCAGTATGTTACTTATTTGTGCAATCAGAATTTACAGAAATATTTAAGTTCTTTTCAAAAATGTGTTCCCTTTTTTAACAGCCCTCATTATTAGGAAGCATCCTCAGGAGGGAATTTAAATCATTCATCTCTGATACCCTTTTTTTCTTCTCCTGAGTGATTTTAGGGAAAAACTGATCATTATCCTAAGTAATAGGTGGTTTTATTTCTTCTGTATTCCATGGTGCATTACACAGGACCCTGTTCTCATAAGATCAATTTTCTGTTCTTTTAATCATTTTGGTTACATGGGGTATAGAACCTAGATCCTTGGCTTAATCTAGCCATGGCAGCATGGGAACGCGAGCTACCATCCTGAGAATAATTTTTCCCAGGGGGCCACAGTTGCTAGACCATTCTTATCAGATTTGGTGAAGGTTTGGTAAAGCTTTCAAAAAGCTGTCACTCCAGTTTAATTTATTTATTATGACGATTTCTCCCCACACCTTCATCATAACATCAACAACAAAACACTTGTTTTTCAGTTTTTAAAAGCTTCCAAATTGCAAATGATTTCAATGTAACTTTCGAGCACAGTTTATTAAGGTAGTCTTTATCTTTCCCAAAAGATCAGGTGATCTGATAGTTTAAAATATCAAAGTGAATTCAGGCATTGTTAGTAAATTGGTAAGTAGGTCTAAGGTTACAAGGGAAATTCCTTTGCCCTTTCAAAAAAAAAATGAAAACAGTATATAGTGAAATTAGCCCTTATATTTAAAAAAATACATAAAAGGAAAGATAAAAATTAGTTAAAAGTTTAGAAAATATAAGGGCTAGTGTAGTGTGGATACTTGTCACGAGACCTGAAGCATTTTACTTGATTTCTGTAAGTTTCTTTAGATACAAAATGGCCGTCTAAGTACCTAAGGTGCAATGTGTATGCAGCATGTAGTAACTGGCACAAAGTAAGCATTTTTCATCAACAACAACATTATAACTTTAAAAAGACAATGATGCTAAGATGTCCACATCCAGGCCAAGCGCTCATAGAGTAGGGGCACAGGGCATTTCCACTGAGGTACCACCTTGACACCGTAACTCTGAGACTCACTCTTTCTATGACATTGTCTTTTAATGTCTTGTTTGTCTGGGTGTACCTATGCTTCTGCATCACCTTCTGTTTTCCATAAAATATTTTGTAGCACTTAGACAGAAAGAGCCACAGAGTCAGTCCCCACAGCTACAGTTATGAAAAACAGGTCTGCATATGATGACTTTGGTTATTCATTACAGGAATACGTGTAAAAGCATCCCTGTTGTTATAAGCATAGTGCATGTTAATTCCGAGGAATTTGTAAAATAACAGAAAACACAAAGAAGAAAATTTAAATTGCTGAATCTACTGTGAAGAAATAGCAATCAATGATTTTATGTATCTGCATCCAATCTTTTGTTTATAGTATATACACATACAAACACACACACATTAAGAAAGTTGGCATTATGCTGTAATTATTTTTGGCACCTGTGTTTCCCATTATCTATACAACACATTTTTTTCTATGCTGCTAAGTACCTGTCTGACCTGTGGTCATGAATTGCTGCAACAAATTCTTTTGTTTACTAATTTATGTAACCTGTTTCCAGCACTGGTTTGTCAGGTAGGTTGCTTTTCACATTAATTATCAGTGAAACGGTGCTGATCGTCCTCGTTCTTAAATTTTTACACATCTTTGATTCTTCATAATGAATATGTAGCCGTTGAATGTCAATGGTTTTTTTATGCACGTTGACAAATTGTTTTCTATAAAGATTGTACCCGTTTGCTCCCCCATCAGCATTATATTAAATCCCTTTCCCCAAAGCTATCAGACATGATGATCATTTTTTAAACTTTGCAAAGTTGATAAGCAGGACATGTATTTCATTGTTCCTCTAATATTCTTTTGATTACCAGAAAGTTTTAACACTGTCATATATTCACAGGCCATGTGTAGTTTCCATAATTTCTTGTTAAACAGCTCTGTTAAGTAATTCTTTCTCAGCTTCGGCTTATGTCAGTCCAAATCTTTGACACAGTGTGCAGAGCTCCTCCTGGGTAAATGTGCAGTTCTCACTTGTTCCGTTCATGCTTGTTTGTTTCTCTCTCTTCCAATTGAAAGTTTTGAATTTCAATCTTAATCTCCTGGGTACTGACCTTCCCCATCAAGCCTCACCTTTTCTATACTCTCTGAGCTTAATGAGCATAACATTTCCAGCAAGAAACCCAGAAAAGCTTCTCATGCCTTCAGGGTTCCTTTATTTTGAAACTTCAGGCTCTGTCATTTTTGTGATGTGAAGGGTACTTTAGCACACACATGCAGAATTCTTGTACTAGAAACCAATCTGGAAAGCAGCTGACCTAACCAGAAAATAGTTCTCCTACAAGTTAAGATAATGACTTTTTCTGAATCCCTTAGATGACTCAAGTTTATTCTTCTGACCAGCAGCACATCATCAGGTTCTTTCATAACATCAGGCCTTTCCTCATCAGCATCTGCTGTTTTAAAGGTTTTTGATGTTGTTCACACTACAGTGTACCTTTGCTCTCTTGGTTTTATTATTCACAGCTCAATAAAAAACATTAGCATTTTAAGATATAAAACTGACAGCTAATTTGGAGAACAAATATATTTTCAAAATACTTAGAGCTTCAGTGAACTCTTTGAGTGACATTGTATATAGTTGACATATATGGTCTCTATATGAGGTTATAGATGAGGCAGCAGTTTTTCAAAGAACTTCACCAAAACTGTTTACAGACTGGAAGAAAAA